CTGCTGCGGTCCAGCCTTTGCTCGAGTGCCTCGACATCGCTGGCAGCTCCACCCTCGGGATTCACAACATGGACTACGAGTCTGGCACCGTGACCGATTCTTCCGAGGCCACGGTCTATGACCCTGAGACGGAGGTGTTCCATGCAATGATGATGAACAATAGCCAGCTAGTCCAAACCGACGAGTCCCTATTCGGATTTGAGCAATGCGGCAACGCCTCGGTCGGCGACGGTGTCGTTGGAGCCTACGACATCGCAGCGCTTCTTTGGTACCAGTTCAAGGCCACGCCATACGACGGCCTGCCTTCCGACCCTCGGGTCGTCAACACAACGCGCTGGCGCGCTGGCACCGCTCTGAGGTGCGGCTTTGCCGGCCCGGACGCCGGTGACGTGGAGTCGCGATCTGACTGGATGCTCGGCGTGCACGAGGGCTCTTGCTTGAGCGGTATCGACCACGTTGAGCGCGATGCCTCACCGTCGCCGCCGCCGCTAGCCCCCCCGACCCCACCGCTGGCCCCCCCGCCGTCCTCCCCAAACAGCGCCCGCCGCTTGTCGCTGAATGGGGAGACGGACGTCGCCTCTGCTCTGGCCGAACTTACGGAGCAATCACTCCGTCCTGGCGCCCAGGAGATGAACGGACAAGTCGAGATATGGAGCAGCCGAGAGAACGGGGGCCTCTGGCTCAAGGTGCACGCCCCCGGCGTTCAGATTGCCACCGAGCTCTTCCTCACGGGCCTCGCCCCTAATCCGGATCGAGTCGGCAAGCTCTCGAATCGACAATGGCCCGACAAGGACTGCGAGCGGTGCGAGCCGGGCACCCCCGGCGTTCATGTGCGGTTCGCACGCCGTCTCGAATACGGGATCGCAGAAAACCCGGAGTACGCGCTCACTCTCTATCGGCGAAAGTGTTCCAACATACTCCCTGGCTTCGGCGGGTCCATCGCGCTGAAGGGCAACACGCTTAGCTTGCGCCAAGAGACACCCAACAAGGCGTGCGCCTTCGACGTCTTCCTCTGGGTGCCTCTGACGGAGCTCGACGGGTCGATGCGCTCCTTCTCGTCGATCCCACCTGTGTGCATTGGACGTGGCTCGAGCAGCGAGGGCGCCTATCCAACCATCCAGCGAGCCATGGCAGCGTGCGACCCCGCGGTGGAGCGGCCCCCACCGTCGTCCATGCAGAGCCCTCCGCCGCCGCTCCCGCCGCTGCCGCCGCAAGCCTCCACGTCCACGATCAGCGAACCGAGTAGCGCGACAGGAACCCTCCGAGGCGTGGGCCTCATCTCCGTGATCATCGCGGTGCTCTTGCTGTCCCTCGCCTGTGGACTCGGCCTCGTGCGCTACAGACGACGCAACGCGCGGAGCAGGTCGCTAGCCACCGCTGGGCTCACCGCGCCACTCGGCTCCGCCTCCGTTCTTCCCCCGAGCGACTCCAGCATAGACGCTAGCCAGCCGAGCGAGCTAGGCAGCGAGTCCAGCGCGCCCAGCGAACCGCGGCGAGTCGAGGTCTAGGTCGAGGGGCGCATGGAGCGGGCTCGGGACGCCAGGCTCGCCAGGCGGGGGGGGGGGGAGGCTCAACCGCGGTCAGCGCTCCTGCGACACCGTCCGTAAGTACGTCAGTCGTATGTAAGTACGTCAGTATTCGCACACACCTCTCTCTCGCTTCTTCACTGCTAAAAATCTTTCTTTCGTCTCGCGTCATAACTCACGCCCCCCACCGCGGGGTTTCGAATGAGGACGAGCCCGTGAAGCTCAGCGTCGTGTGGGGCTTTGAGGACAAGCCGCTCGACACGGAAGGCGTCAATCGGCTCTTTGACCCGCAAAACAAGGGCCGCCTCGCCTTCAGCCCCGACTGGGTGCTCGATGGGCCGTGCGGAGGGGAGGGGCGGCGCACACCAAGCCACGTCCATGACACGTCCGTGACGCTTCCCATAGGTCCTTGACGAGTCGGCGCTGTCGGGACTGCTGAGTGCGTGCGACCTGCTCGAGAATTCGGAGCTCGTCTTCGACAAAAAAAACGACGACGGCGGCCTGGAGAAGGACGTCGACTGGAAAGAGGCGGCCATCGCCTACGCGCGCTCAGAGTACGGCCTCGCCGACGCCGCTAAGCTGCTGCGGCCTCGCCCGGCTCCCACTGCCGCTGGCGCCGAGGCGATACGGCAGGCGGAGACTACCCTGCCCTGCCCTGCTGTACTACCCTGCCCGCACACTGCCGCACAACTGCCCTGCCCGATCCCCTACCTGCCCCGGGTGTGAAACCCACACTGCCCTGCCCGGCCCAAATCACACTGCCGAAATATGAGGACGTATTTTCTTCTCATAACAAGGCTGTGAATAGCCGGCACTGTCACTGTGCGATTTCGGGGCCCGGGGTTGTGCGTTTATGTGAATAGCCGCCGCTCCCGAGGTCGAAGAGTTATGACCCCCCCCCGATGAACACACCAGTGAGGGAGGGCGAGACGATCGAGGGGTCCCGTACCATGCGGAACTGACCCTATCCAGTGCTCAAGTGCTCAAGGTCGAAGAAACGCGGCAAACCCCGCAAAGTGCCCCGTTTTTACCCACCCACGCCCGTGCGCGCGTATCTTAGCTAAGGTACGCGGCCACACGCGCTGGCGCGCACGGCAACCGGGACTTACACGCGCGACACGAGGGACTGCGTATCCTTGCCTGCCTCGGGGGAGAATAGCCGCCCTCACCCGCTGCCGCCCATCGATCGAGCTCGGCGGGGCCTGATACGTGTCATTCTGTGCCGGCGCGTATCTTAGCCAAGATACGCGGCCACACGTGCAGACGCGTATAGCGGTACTCGCGCCCACACGTGTAGCCGCCTTTCTTGGCCAACATAGGCGGGCGTGAGCGCGTGAAACGGCCCGTCGACGATGACCTCCCCCAGCTGCTTCTCCTCAAATCAACCTGTGAGCTTGCGAGGCGACGGGGGTGGGAGTGCTCTCGGGCGGCGTGTGCGAGCGCGCGCGGCGCGAGATCTCTGTCGCGAGGGCACGGTGGGTCGGGTGAGTATCTCGCGCGCTCGCACTATTTCACGTTATATCAGGCACTGCCTTTGATGCCTTTGCAAGAACCGCCAGCGGCGGTGGTCGAACCGGTTCGCGGTTCGAGCCGGGACCTGTTGGCTCCCGGTTCGGAACTCGCTTGGAGGGTTGCTTCGCTCTCGCGGAGCGAGCGCGGGCGCATGGGTGCGTGTGCGCGTGCGCTGCTGCAAGGCGAGGCGAGGCGAGGCGCGGGGCGGCGCGGTGCGGCGAGGCGGGCGGCGGCGGCGCGCGGTCGTTCCTTTTGCCCGGGTGAGGCGTGGCTTGCGCGCCGCGCGGTGATGACGCAGCACGCTGAAAAGTCCTTGGTGAGCCACCGCGGTGGCAGCGAGCCAAAGCAAGCCACCTGCCGCATGACGGGTTGACCCACGGCGGCACTTTTTCTGCCTGATGAGATCATCGTTGACGTCGAACGGCTACGAAGCCTTCACACTCCAATCGATCCCGAGTTCGTCCGTGTCTAATGGTAATGAGCCCCGGGAGGGGTACACCGTACACGTACCTTTTGTGCACTGCTCGCTGGCCGCTCGCGCTCCTCGGACCTCGCGGGTTCCCCCCGCCTCGCTGTGGGGGCTGGTCAGAGGAGGGCGCGGCGCAGTTCCAACTCTTTTTTTTGGCAGGCTGATAGAGGGCAGAGAGAGTCAACACGAATAGACTTACGTACATGCACACGAAAGGCAAGGAGTCACGTTTACGTACTGATGGCGGGCGGGCAGCGCGCGCGCTCCTGGCGCGCCGCCCACCTCGCTGCATGCCGCGCCGCCTCTCCTGCCGCCGCCGGAAGGAAGCTCGCGCGTCGCAAGCCGAGGAGAGGTGCCGACGCCTCCCGCCCGCCTCGAGGTCCGCCCCCCGCCGCCGCCCAAGGCCGGCGCGGCTCCGGGCTGTGCTCACCGGGCCGCTATACGTCGACCGCGGCGGCGCGGCGCTGCTGCCGGTAGACGGCGCTAGACGGCGCTAGACGGGCACTCCGAAGCGGGAGATGGTTTCCCGCGCCTGGTGGGGCAATCGAGTCACGCTCAGAGGGACCACGGCCCCGCGGCGGCGGCGAGCCCGCTCGTTGCGGCCCTTCCATCTCGGCCAACCTAGCCAATCTCGGCCAATCTCGGCCAGTCTTCTCGGCCAACCTCGGCCCACTCTCGACTCAGTCTCGTCGAGACCCGCCTGCGCCTCCTTCGGCCAGTCTCTCGGCTCCGTCTCGGCTAGCTCCCGCCTCGTTGAGGTCCTTTTGCACCTTCTTCATCTGGTAGTAGATTGGCGAGTCGCGAGCGATCCCGAGCACGTCCTTGTAGTTGTCGCCTAAAAAAGAAAACAGCCGGCTGAAGAGAAAACGCGGCGAACGATCCCGAGCCCGCCCTTGCAGCCGTCGCCTAGCACAGCACCCGCAAGGAGATGCAGAGAGGAGGAGGACGGCACGCCGGGAGTCAGGCCCGCGCGGAGCGGTCGCCGGTGATGCGCTGGCACTGCACCATGATCTGCCAGAACCTGTTCACGGCAAGAGGTGTGAAGAGACGCTGTTCACAGCTGGCACTGCGCCATGATCCGCCAGCACCGCTTCTCGCAGGCGGAGAGGTGGCGCAGCTTCTCCATGTACACCTCGGCCTCGCGGTGCGTGCAGTTGGCGCAGAGAGCGCCGCCCGACTTGAGCACCTGCGGCGAGGAACAAAAGAAATACGCGCCGCCAAAAGGCGAACCTCGGTGAACCTCGGCGAATCTCGGCGAGTGTCGGCGAGTGTCGGGCGAGTCTCGGCTAGCGAGCACCGCTCTGCACCCGAGGCAGCGCACCGACACGGTCACCATGCCCATCAGCCCGCCCGTGGTCGGCATCACCTGTTCACAGCCGGAGGTGTGAAGAGACGCCGCTCACAGCAGCCCGTCCGTGGTGATGGGCATCGCCTTTTTGATCTTGCGCGTGTGCTCGCCCGAGAGGACCTGAGGCGTTTGGGGGAGGAGGGAGGAGGAGGGCAGGAGGGGGAGGAGTGTGAGAACAAGAATCGTTGAGAACAAGAATGCGAGTGGGCAACTGGGGATGCGATGGGGGACTCTGGAGATGCGCATGGTACAGACCGTTGAGCTAACTACACCCCCCCCCCCCCCTCTTGCGGCACTGCTTCTGTCTTCGGACCTGCAGCTTGACATCGTCGACGAGCGGGTCGAAGAGGCGCTTGATCGGCTCCGACAGCTGGTGCTCGAGATACCAGTCCGTGTCGAGCGGGATGTTGTTGTCGAGGACAAAGATAGGGTCCTCGGCCTTCTCCCACGCCTTGGCCTTGGCCGCGCCCTTGACCATCACGTACGGGATCCGGTCGCCCACCTTTGGGGAGATGCGGGGAGATTGCGGGGAGATTGCGGGGAGATATGACGTACGGGATCCGGTCGCCCACCTTTGGGGAGATGCGGGGAGATTGCGGGGAGATGTGGGGGGATGCGGGGAGATGCGGGGAGAGAAGGCAAAGTAGTGGGACCGGACCACTCCTTCCTTACTACGTTGCGGCATGAGAGAGGGCGGAGGTGCCTTCGGCGCGAGGCCCGGGTCGCGCTTCCGGATGCGCTCGGCGAGCACGACGTGCGCCTGCGGGGGGAGATGACCTGAGATCACCCGAGATGACGCGAGATGACGCGAGATGACGCGAGATGATGCGAGATTGGCGAGGCGAAGCGATCGCTCGTGACAAGCGCGGTGCGCCCGATTATTGGTGCGCGCGTCTCGCACCGGATCCGCTGATCTCGCCGCATCTCGCCGCATCTCGGCGGATCTCGGCGCATCTCAGGGGATCTCTGCGGATCTCGGTGGATCTCAGCGGATCTCGGCGGATCTCGCCTGCCGGTTGCCGGCCTCGTACTGGTCCGCCGAGCGCGTGAACGCCTTCGAGGTGGCGGGCTTGCCGGTGAGTCATGAGTCCTACCACTGTGACCGGTCGTCCTTGCCCACGAGTGCCTTCGAGATGACCAGCTTGCCCATGTCCATCTCGTTCATCAGCAGCTTGGCGATCTGGCGCTTGACGTACGAGATAGCCTGGGGTGAGGGGAGAGGGGAGGGGGTGGGGGGGGGGTGGGGGGGAGGATGGGGGGAGAGGGGGGGAGATGTGGGGGGATGGGGGGGGAATCTGGCGCTCGACGTGCGAGATTGCCTTGTCTGGCTCGCCCTCGATCAGGATGTTGCGCAGCGAGGTGTCGACCACGTCCTTCACCAGCTCGCAGTTGTCGCGCCGCACCGTCTCGATCCCCTTGCAGTCCATGTAGTCGTGCTTGGCCGTGCTGGTCCACAGCAGACCCGCGTACCTAGAGACTCACCCGCGACCTCCCGCGACCTCCCGCAACCTCCCCCAATCTCCCGCGTACCTAGCGGGCGATCTCCCCCCTCGCAATCTCCCGCAATCTCCCGCAATCTCCCGCGACCTCCCGCGACCTCCCGCGACCTCCCGCAACCTCCCGCGACCTCCCGCAATCTCCCGCAATCTCCCGCGATCTCCCGCAGCGGGCGAGCGCGCGCCGCTTCTTGTTCATCAGCAGGTACGGGTGGTAGCACTTTTCGAACTCGAGCTTAATCGGCTGGATGAAGGTCTGCGTCACCCGCGCCGCCGCCTCCTCGCCGAGCCGCATCGCCTCCGCGAGGCTGTCGGTGCCGAACTTGATCATCACCGAGTCGGTGTCTCCGTAGATGACGACCTATGAAGAGAACAGTCCGGCCGCGCGTAAAAAAAGAAAGCCAACGGCGGGGAGGTGTGCCTCCGAAGATGACGACCGCGTCGTGCTCGTACCCCTTGGCGACGTTGTAGTTCGCCTCGACGTACTCCTTTGTCTGCTCGATCATCTGCCGCCCGAAGCCGGTCACCTATCGCCGTCCTCCTCTCCTCGCGACGCGCCTCCCCTCCCTCCCCTTCCTCCCCCGCCCGAGTCCGCTCACCGAGGACGAGATCTCGAGGCACGGCAGCTGGCCGACCTGCGCTCCGGTGAAGCCGTAGACGGAGTTGGCAGACACCTTGAGCGCGAGTACATTGAGGAATTACCCCCGGGTGCTTTCTTTCATTCATTCATTACTGCGCGCACCTTGAGCGCGAGCTGGCGGCCGTCGTACACGGCGTAGGTGAGGGGGTCCATGTCCTTGCCCTTGGCCTTCTCGGCCTTCATGTCGGCCTTTGCCTTCTTGCGCGCGCCGAGCAGCTCCTCGAGGATCTGCGGGAGATTGGGGGGAGATTGAGGCGGGAGAGTGCGGCGGGATCGAGGGATCGCGGCGAGATTGCGGCGAGATTCTGGCGGGAAGAGGCGGGGTGGGGAGGAGGGGCAGAGGGGAAGGGGAGGGGGAGAAGGAGAGGAGCGGAGAGGAGCGGAGAGGGGCGGAGAGGGGCGGGGGGAGGGGCGGAGGAGGGGCGGGGGAGGGGCGGAGGAGGAGAGGAGAGGGGAGCGGAGAGGCCTGCGGCAGCAGCCCCTTTTGCTGGCTCGACTTGACAAACACGTCGCCCGTCGGCGTCTTCGTGCAGTGCTCGGCCGGCAGCTTGGAGACGTCGGGCCGCCGGACCTGCCGGGAGATGCGGGGAGATATGGGGAGATATGGGGAGATATGGGGAGATATGGGGAGATGCGGGGAGATGCGGGGAGATATGGGGAGATATGGGGAGATATGGGGAGATATGGGGAGATGCGGGGAGATATGGGGAGATGCCGGGAGATGCGGGGAGATGCCGGGAGATGCGGGGAGATGTGTGGGAGATGTGGGGAGATACGGGGAGATGCGGGGAGATGCGGGGAGATGCGGGGAGGTATGAGATATGTGGAGATATGGGGAGATACGGGGAGGTATAGGGAGATGTCCGGCCGCCGCGCCAGCGTGGAGTAGCACAGGTTGTGCGCCATCATGATGGACGGGTAGAGCGACGCGAAGTCGAGCGTCGCGACGGGCTCGCGGTAGAAGCCCTTCTTGGGCTCGATCACGGTGGCGCCCTCGTACTTGTCGCCCTCGCCCTGCTTGTGCGCCTAGAACAGAGCACACCGCCTGAAAACAGACGCGCAGGCGCCCGCACTTGTCGCCCTCGGGTCTGCTTGCGCGCCTGGACCGGCAGCAGGCAGCCGACCGTCTTTGCCTTGCGGTACAGCTGCGACATGACCTTGATCTGCTGGCCGCGCGTGAGCAGGTAGTTGAGGGGCACGCCGCAGACGCGCGCCATCTCGGAGTAGTTGATCAGGCACATCAGCTTCTGCAGCAGCCGCTGCGGCAGGTAGGCGTCCTTGAGGCAGTACACGGCGAGGCGGCGGCGCGTGTCCGCGTTGCCGGCCTGGAGCTCAGAGATGATCGAGTGGTGCACGTCCTCCTTTTGCTCGCCTGTGGGGGAGATGGGGGGAGATGTGGGGAGATGTGGGGAGATGATCGAGTGGTGCACGTCCTCCTTTTGCTCGCCTGTGGGGGAGATGGGGGGAGATGTGGGGAGATGTGGGGAGATGATCGAGTGGTGCACGTCCTCCTTTTGCTCGCCGAGGAAGTGGGCGCACACGGAGTTGAGCGAGTACGAGGAGAGCTTGTGGTCGCGCTGCAGCACCTGCATGGGGAGATGTGGGGAGATGTGGGGGGAGATGTGGGGAGATACGAGGAGAGCTTGTGGTCGCGCTGCAGCACCTGCATGGGGAGATGTGGGGAGATGTGGGGGGAGATGTGGGGAGATACGAGGAGAGCTTGTGGTCGCGCTGCAGCACCGGCATGGGGAGATATGGGGAGATGTGGGGAGATGTGGGGCGAGATATGGGGAGATATGAGGAGAGCGTGTGGTCGCGGAGCAGCACCTGCAGCATGTCGAACTGGACGCGGCCCTCGATGTTGATCTCCTTGGACTCGCGCGTGCCCGTCTGCTTGGACTGGAACATCTTGTCCTTGACGCGCGTCTTCATCCCCTTGATGCGCCCGAGGTACGGGAAGGTGCCAACCTAGGGGAGATGTGGGGAGATATGGGGGAGATGCGGGGAGAGACGAGGCACGGGAAGGTGCCAGCCTAGGGGAGATGCGGGGAGATATGGGGGAGATACGGGGAGAGACGAGGGTACAGGAAGGTGCCAACCTTGAGCGTCTCGGCGCGCAGCAGCAGGTAGGGCAGGTCGAAGTTGGCGATGTTGTAGCCCGTGATGATGTCTGCGTCGCTCGCCACGAGGAACTGCTGCCACTTTGCGAGCAGCTCCGCCTCCTTCTCGAACGGGAGGACCTACTCTCGCGCAATCTCGCGTCATCTCGCGCCTTCTCGAGCTCCGACCTCCTTCTTAGGGGGGGGGAGGGGAGGGGCCTCCGCCCCGGAGATATGCCGAGGTCTGGCCGAGGTCTGGCCGAGGTCTGGTCGAGGTCTGGCCGAGGTCTGGCCGAGGTCTGGTCGAGGTCTGGCCGAGGTCTGGCCTAGCCATACCCCCCGAGATGGCGGGGCCTGGTCTCTCGGGCAATCTCGGGCAATCTCGAGGGCAATCTCGGGGGCAATCTCGAGGGCAATCTCGGGCAATCTCGAGGGCCTGCGCCCCCGATCTCGGGCAATCTCGAGGGCCTGCGCCCCCGATCTCGGGCAATCTCGTCGGCAATCTCGGGCAATCTCGAGGGCCTGCGCCCCCGAGATGGCGGAGCAGGTGTCCAGCGTGAAGATGTTCTTGATGCGCGGCTTGGTCTCGCCCTGCAGGCAGAGGCGTGTGAGGGAGCACTCGCCACCGTTGAGAGAGGGGCACTCGAGAGCAGCGGGGCGGCGGCAGCACAGCAGCAAACTCGCAAGGCTACTGAGAGACCGCGCGGCAGCAGCGGGAGCAGCTCTACTCCTCAGACCACAGAGCAGCAGCACCACCTGCAGGCAGACGTGGTTGGCGATCTGGATCACCGGGTCCTGCAGAGGGACGGTTCCGAGAAGGTTCGGGGACGGGTCCAGCCGGCGGCTCCTCACCTGCTCAGCCTCCCGCGTCATGCGTCGCGTCCGGGAAGCCGCCAGGTCGGCCCGCGCACCTTGGGGAGATGTGGGGAGGTGTGGGGAGGTGTGGGGAGGCCTCCGGAGGTGTGGGGAGTTTTGGGGGGGTGTCGGGAGGTGTGGGGAGATGTGGGGAGGTGTTCTCCGCGTGGGGAGGTGTGGGGAGGTGTGGGGAGGTGTGGGGAGG